CCCCAGGTCTCATGGAGATCGATAGTACAAAGGGAGATAGTCTGTAATAACATATGCATCACACAGCGATGTGAGCAGCCTGCTAGAGCTTCAGGGAAGAAACGAGTTCTTACTGGAGAAATGTTTAAAATATTCCACACTGCTGACCGAGCATGGTGGCTCACGCCTGTAAGCCACCTTTGGGACGCCAAAGGTGGGTGGATCACCTGACGTCAGGATGTGTCTGGAGTTGGTTCCTTCGGGTGGGTTCTTGGTCTTGCTGACTTCAAGAATGAAGCCACAGACCTTCGCAGTGAGTGTTACAGCTCTTAAAGGTGGCACGGACCCAAAGAGTGAGCAGCAGCAAGATTTATTGTGAAGAGCGAAAGAACAAAGCTTTTACAGCACAGAAGGGGACTCAAGAAGGTTGCCACTGCTGGCTGGGGGTGGTCAGCTTTTATTCCCTGATTTGTCCCCGCCCACATCCTGCTGATTAGTCCATTTTACAGAGTACTGATTGGTCCATTTTACAGAGTGCTGATTGGTGCATTTACAGTCCTCTAGCTAGACACAGAGTGCTGATTGGTGCATTTTTACAGAGCGCTGATTGGTGCATTTACAATCTTTTAGACGCAGAGCCCTGATTGATGCGTTTTTACAGAGCGCTGATTGGTGCATTTACAATCCTTTAGCTAGACACCGAGCACTGACTGGTGCGTTTACAATCCTGTAGCTAGACAGAAGAGTTCTCCAAGTCCCCACTCGACCCAGGAAGTCCAGCTGGCTTCACCTCTCAAGGAGTTTGAGACTGGCCTGACCAACATGGCAAAACCCCGTCTCTACTAAAAACATAAAAATTAGCCGGACATGGTGGTGCATGCCTGTAATCCCAGCTACTTGGGAGGCTGAGGCAGGTGAATCGCTTTAACCCAGGAGGCAGAGGTTGCAGTGAGCTCAGATCGCGCCACTGCACCACTCCAGCCTGGGTGACAGAGCAAGACTTCATCTCAAAAAATAAAAAATAAATTCCACACTGCCATCATGGATTTCCTCGAAAGAGTGGTAGGAGGAGTACAGTGGAAAATTAAGAGAAGCACACAGTCAGGATCAGAATGAGCAAAGACCAAATGATCTGGGAACATACCCATGTTTTGAGAGAAGTAGATTGTCTCACATGGCAACAGCAAAGCAGTGGAAGGATGGGAGGAGGGGTGATAAAACAGTAAAGAGAAGTTGGGGTCAATGTTTAGATTCTACAACAAGTAGAATGGCTTCACCAGCATGTAATACAAAACCCAACTCAAAATGACTTTCAGCGGAGATACAGAATCTCATGCAATAAAGCCCAGAGGTAGCACAACTGCAGAGTTGGCCATTTTGTCCTCAACATCATCAAGTGCCCCAAAGTGTTCCACCTTTTTCTGTTCTTCTGCAGCCGGTGCTCCACATGGTTACAAGATAGCAGCTTCTCCAGCATCACGTCCTCACACACCCATCTCCAGAGATAAAAGAGAGAGGCCTGCCTTTTGTCTCTTTTGTCTCTTCTTTCTCTCTCTCTCCCCTCTCTTTTCCTGGAACAGTGCTTTCTTTTTTTTTAAGATGACAGCTTTATTGAGATACAATTCTCCCATTTAAAGTATTCAATTTAGTGGTTTTCAGTACGGTCACAGAGTTGTGCAACTATTACCACAATCAATTTTAGAACACTTTCATCACCTAAAAACAAAAAGAAAACAAAACTGACCCCATACTCTTCAGCTGTCAGCTCCTAATCCCTTTTACCCTCCTTGTTCCCAGCTCTAAGGAACCATTAAACTTCTCTGTCTCAGTCTCTCTCTCTCCCTATTTTGGACATTTCATATTAATAGAATCATATACATTTGTAATCTTTTATGACTTGCTTCTTCTACTTAGCATAATGTTTTCAGGGTTCTTCCATGTGATAGCATGTGACAGTATTTTATTCTTATTTATGGCTGAATAATAGTCTGTTGAATAGATATACCATGTTTTGGTTATTTATCTGTTGATGGACAGTTGGGTTATTTACTTTGGGGCTTTTATGAGTAATGCTCTATGAATATTTGGTACAAATTTTTGTGTTGATATATGCTTTACATTTTCTTGGGTATATACTAATTGTAGAATTGCTGGGTCGTATGTTAACTTCAATGTTTAACTTTCTGAGAAACTACCAGATAGTTTTCTAACATAACCACATCATTTTTCATTCTTACCAGCAACATGTGAGGGTTCTAGTTTCTCCATGTCCTCACCAACACTTCTTATTATCTGACTTTTAAATTCTAGCCATTCCAGTGAGTGTGAAGTGGTATCTCCCTATGATTTTGATTTGCATTTCTCTAATGACTGATAACATTGAGCACATTTTTATGTGCTTATTGGCCATTTTTATGTCTTCTTTGAAGAAATGTCTATCTGACCTTTTACCCATTTTTAATGTGATTGTCTTTTTATTATTGGGCTATAAGAGTTCTGTATATATTTTATTTATTTTTATTTATTTGTTTATTATTTTTGAGATGGAGTCTCACTCTGTCTCCCAGGCTGGAGTGCATTGGTGTGATCTCGGTTCACTGCAACCTCTGCTTCCCGTGTTCAAGTGATTCTTCTGCTTCAGCCTCCCACATAGCTGGGATTACAGGCGTGCACCACCATTCCTGGCAAATTTTGTATTTTTAATAGAGATTGGGTTTCACTGTGTTGGCCAAGCTGGTCTCGAACTCCTGAGCTCAGATGATCCACCCGCCCCAGCCTTCCAAAGTGCTGGGATTACAGGCGTGAGCCACCACACCTGGCCTGAGTTCTGTATGTATTCTAGATATGAGTTCCTATTAGATGGGTGATTTGTAAGTATTTTCTTCGTTTTGTGGGTTTCCTGTTCACTTTCTTTGTGGTATTCTTTGAGGCACAAACATTTTTATTTTTGGTGAAGTCCAGTTTTCTTTTTTTCCTTTGGTTGCTTGTGCTTTTGGTGTCATATCTAAGAAACCATTCCCTAATCTAAAGTCGCAAAGATTTGCCCTTATGTTTTCTCCTAAGAATTTTATAGTTTGTGATCTTACATCTAGGTCTTTGATTCATCTTTTGATCATTTGAGTTAAGTTCTGTATATGGTTTGAGGTAGAGGTTCAATTTCATTCCTTTGCAGGTGGCCATTCACTTGTCTCAGGAACATTTGTTGAAAAGACTATTTTTCCCTTATTGTCAATGGTCTTGACATCCTTCCTAAAAGTCAGTTGACCATACATGGCTTTATTCTTAAACTTTCTATTTTTTTCCATTGATCTGTATTTTTATCCCAGTACCATACTGCCGTAATTATAGTTGCTTTGTAGTAAGTTTTTAAGTTGGTAAGTTTGAGTCCTCCAACTTTGTACATATTCAAGCTTGTTTTGGCTATTCTCAGTTCCTTGAGTTGCCATATGACTTTTAGGATCAGCTTATCAATTTCTACAAAGAAGCCATCTGGTATTCTGATAGAGCTTATGTTGAATCTCTAGATCAATTTGGGGAGTATTGCTATCATAACAGTATTAAGTCTTCCTATCCATGAACACAGGATATCTTTCCATTTATTCAGATCTTCTTTAATTTCTTTCAATATTTTACACTTTTCAAAATACAATTTTTACAATTCCTTGTTAACTTTATTTCTAAGTATTTTAATTCTATTGTAAATGAAATTTTCTTAATTTCATTTTCAGATTATTCATCACCAGTACATAAAAATACAGTTGATTTTTGTGTGTCCATCATGTATCCTACAACCTTGCTGAAGTCATTTATTAATTGTGCTACACAATTAATTTTTAAGTGACTTTGGTCACAGTCTCCAGGAATAACAGAAGTGTTCTAGGAAAAAAACAGCACAAAGGAATAGTACCTGATACTCATTGCACCTTCATGAATGACAGTACGATGCAATATTTCTTAGGACCCAAATCCTTTCCTGGAAATTAGTATCCAGAAAGCCAAATACCCAAATAATACAGAATAGAGGCAGAAAATTTCCATGCCTGGTTTTAAAATAATTCCCTTACTTAAAGATAAAGATTAAGACAGTTCATTTATTTATACAGTATATAATTGATATGTGTCTTGGTTGGAAAATAAAAATCATTAAAAAATACAATGTCTTCATGAGTACCATTTTGTAAAACTCATGTATGGAAAGCAAGCCATGGCAAATCCAGTGCCTTGGGGAGGGTACATGATGGATGGACCCATTCATGATTGCCAGGGACTTGTGCAAATCCTTTTCTGCAGGGCCATGGTTGCACTAAGACACTTAATTACTACATTGAAGTTTTATCAGCAGCCATCCTCATAACTGATTCCAACAGTGACTGGTTTTTCTAACACAGCAATCTAGTTTGATTTTTATAAGCTAGAGAAAATACTAGGCTGTTGAAACTTATAGGCAGGCCCCACAGGAACAAAATGAAAATTCCTGAATATGTACTTGTAGTGCTTTGGTCCTGTGATAACAGCTGAAGACTCTCCTAATTGCTGTTTAGAAGAAACAAGTATCTTTCAAAACATTTCAAAGTAAAATGGTAGCAGATAGGGGTGCCTCATTGGAAACAGCTCATCCTAAGTGGACTTTTCCCCTCCCAAACATTAGACCCCTGCCACACACACGCACCTCGCCGCCTTTCCTTCCTCTGTGCAACGTGTGTACTCTGTCCCACTCTGAAGGACACAGGGAAGGATCACATTCGACCTCATACCTTATGAAAAGAAACAATGTCATTCACTGTAAATACTTTTAAAGATGAGGAAAGAGAATATGATGTTTGCCAAGAAGTTTAAGGTTTTTTTCATTCCTTTTTAAAAACCTTATTTGTGATATTAGTGATATGGAAATAAAAGATTTGTTTCCTTATTTCATCACTACACTGTCATAAATTAAAGCATCCTTTCCCCTTCAGGCGAAACTGTTTGCAAGTTTTCCTTTTTAAAAGATAGTCTTTCTTCTTGTCTCCTCTATCATCTAGCATATTCCTCTGCAGACACTACTGAAGTTCATGATGGATATTGCCCTGGGAATGGAGTATCTGAGCAACAGGAATTTTCTTCATCGAGATTTAGCTGCTCGAAACTGCATGTAAGAGTCCTCGGCTATCCTGGAAGGATTGGGCCCTCATGGTGTCTGGTCTTTGCAGGGATAAGGAGATGACCTGTTCCTGTTTAGATAGGGAAAGTAGCTGCAGTCGGAAGGGTTATGGTGTGGCTTGCTCCGAAGATGGAAATATGGCTGGGTGTTTGGGAGTTTTCACTGCCTCTGCATCTGAGAGTCTGGTTGGCTTCCAAAGCTTTCCCTTATGACTCCAGTTTACCTTCACTCTCTCACTCAGGTAGGAATGCGAGGTGTGACCCCTGTGATCCTTCCCCATGCCATCAGGTAGCTTTGGACCTAGAGTTATGTGCACATCAGCCCCTCTTAAAGACAGCAGTGAAAATCATAAAGGCTTTTCCCTACGTTTACACAACACTTCCTTAGGAAGAAGTTTTGTACTTTGAATATGTGGAAGCTGTCCTTTCACAGCAGACAATGGCTTCATTATACAAGAAATGTGGACTTAAGTTCTCCCCATTTCTTCGCCCTGCTTCAGCAGAGCCATTGTCTGCTGTGAATCTTCAAAAACTGTAACTGTGTCTTGATTTTAAGTTTTTTATTGCAAGAAGAGGGAGTGGTCCTTCAATGGATTTTGTCATTTGTTTTTGTTGGTCAGAGATGTGACAATAGGGCCTGCCCCCTCCCACCTCCCAGCCAGCCCTGCCCCTAGGGCTCCTACCCCTTTCACCTCATTTATGAAAACCCTAAAGGGGTTTTGGTTTTGTTATTGTTTTTATTTAACTTAATTTTTCCACCATGGAGGGAGAATCATGAAAAGTCTTTTTCCCTTACTATTTGCTTCATGTTTTCCCAGCAGGCAGGGTGACCAGCTTTGCAGTTTACCCTGGCCTGAGGGGTTTCTCAGGACAACGGATTTTCGGTGTAAAAAGTTAGTGTCAGGCAAACAGGGACAAGTTAGTCACCTTCCCCAGACCACTTCATGTCTATTTCTTTTCCTTCTCTTGCTTTTATTCTTTCTTCTCCTCCTCCTTCTTCTTGTGTAGGAGCTGTTTTAATAGCTTGGGCTACAAATGCAATTGTAGCCCTTTAATTTCTCAGTTAGTTCCTCAAGCACCCACCTGACCATCTTAGCAAGAAGCCCAGCATCTTGTTCTTACTGCATGTAATTCCCCATCTTCTCCAAACTCTCAGGGGGCTTACTTAGTCCACAGGGTCAGTGCCGCTTCCAGACCTCTGGGAGGAAGGCTGCTGGGGTCCTCCATCAGTCCACCAAAGGGCCCTGGTTTTGAGCTACTGCTTTCTGCTCCTGCTATGCTGTGTCTCCATGTTCTCCAGCTGTTTCTAGCCACTGTGCACGGGTGCCCTTACTGGTCCGCATCCCACACAGATCAGAGTGATGCAAGATTGCATCACTTGAGGCCAGGCGTGGTGGCTCACACCTGTAATCCCAGCACTTTGGAAGGCCAAGGCAGGCAGATCACTTGAGGTCAGGAGTCCGAGACCAGCCTGGCCAACATGGTGAAACTCCATCTCTACTTTAAAAAAAAAAAAAAAATTGCCGGGTGTTGGTAGTGTGTACCTGTAATCCCAGCGACTCGGGAGACTGAGGCAGGAGAATCGCTTGAACCCGGGAGGCGGAGGTTGCTGTGAGCTGAGGTCGTGCCACTGCATTCCAGCCTGGGTGACAGGGCGAGACTCTATCTCAAAAGTCTCAAAAAAAAAAAAAAGAAAAAGGCCGGGCGCCGTGGCTCAAGCCTGTAATCCCAGCACTTTGGGAGGCCAAGACGGGCGGATCACGAGGTCAGGAGATCGAGACCATCCTGGCTAATACGGTGAAACCCCGTCTCTACTAAAAATACAAAAAACTAGCCGGGCGAGGTGGCGGGCGCCTGTGGTCCCAGCTACTCGGGAGGCTGAGGCAGGAGAATGGCGGGAACCCGGGAGGCGGAGCTTGCAGTGAGCTGAGGTCCGGCCACTGCACTCCAGCCCGGGCGACAGAGCGAGACTCCGTCTTAAAAAAAAAAAAAGAAAAAAAGAAAAAAATTGCATCACTTGCTCTTACTCTTGCTCTTGCTCTTGCTCTGCCATTGGTCCCAAAGCAGCATGCTCACAGGCTGATGGTGTCTCTGTGTCCTTTTGGTCAGTCATCATGAGTGTTTTCACCTGTGTCTGATATACACCAGTAATTTAAGGCATTGCCTCTGACGCTGCTGAAGACATAACCTGCTATCGTAGGTTGCGAGATGACATGACTGTGTGTGTTGCGGACTTCGGCCTCTCTAAGAAGATTTACAGCGGCGATTACTACCGCCAAGGCCGCATTGCTAAGATGCCTGTTAAATGGATCGCCATAGAAAGTCTTGCAGACCGAGTCTACACGAGTAAAAGTGACGTGGTGCGTACATAGCTTTGATTCAGGGGCCCCACGGTGCAAAGAGGAGGGCATATTGAAAGAAATGACTTTGGCTGGTGTGGCAAGACATTTTACTCTTTGATAAACTGAGGATTGGGAGCTCGCTCAGACCTGTCTTTTATGTCTTACCAGATACTTTAATGCAGGTGAAACAGAGGTTCTGGTGAAGTGTCCTGACATTCAGAAGATGTGTGCTTTGCAAAAGCCGTTAGTTTCTTCCCATTTTTCCTTGCTGTCGAAGGATGACTCATGGCCCACAGCGAGGATATTTCATAGTCACATTAAATTGAATGGGTTCATCCGGTGGCTCTTGGCACCTAGATGCTATATGAAAGGTGCTGTGTAATTACGCCCTTGACCCGAGATTAGGGAAAGAAAGCACCTCACAACCACAGTGGAAGAGAGCATTAAGAAGACATGTGACGAGGCTGTTTCTGCCTTTGCCAGATTTCCCAGAACAGCTTTTGTAGAAGTGGGGAACTGTGACACTCCAACCCCACGTTATTGCGGCGTTGGGAGAGCAGTGCGTCTCACACATAATTGCCAGCTTTGTGCATGATCATCAGTGTTTAGGGAAATGGCCTTTGCCAGTGAAAAGGTCCATTCAGGCTTTGTGGAAAGGCTTGCATCCTAACTTGTTGCTTTGTTCCCAGTGGGCATTTGGCGTGACCATGTGGGAAATAGCTACGCGGGGAATGACTCCCTATCCCGGGGTCCAGAACCATGAGATGTATGACTATCTTCTCCATGGACACAGGCTGAAGCAGCCCGAGGACTGCCTGGATGAACTGTGAGTGGGCTTCTCTGTCTCCCTTCCATACTCTGCATGGGGCAGCCACTTGGCTCTGCAGTGACCTCGGAAACACGGCCATGGGAGGGGAACGGGACTACTGTTAGCCAGATGGGCATGTGCAGAGGGGTGGCACCCGCAGACACCCCAGGCCAGGAGCCATTCCTGATGTGGGAGATAGTGTGTGGTATCTCCAGTGAGCCCACTGAGGCTCACTCATCCAAAGGGCCTCAGCCTCGAAGGACGGGCACTGTCAAGATAAGGCAGCGGCACCAGTCCTAAAATTCCTTACACACCTCTAGGAAATATATCCACAGAGAATAGGTTTGCCTTATAGTGCCTGAGGTCCTTGAATGATTCCTCACCCTCTTTTGGTCCAGTTATCCTTTTCCTTCTATGTAGCATTTCAGACACTCCACTCACAGTAGTATCCTTCATCAGGAAACTGAGAAATCTAAACCAGTGACTTTGGGATCGGGCTGCTCATCAGAATCTCCTGGGAGATAGTCTAACAATTCAATTCCTCGGCTCTGTTCCTGGAAATTATGATGCTTTCGGTACAAAGTGGGCCCAGAAGTGTGTGTTTTGGAATGCTCCCTGGGGCTGGGCGCAGTGGCTCATGCCTGTTATCCCAGCACTTTGGGAGGCCAAAGAGAGAGGATCGTTTGAGCCCAGGAGTTCAAGACCAGCCTGGGCAACATAGTGAGACCCTGTCTTTACTAAAAAATAATAAAATAAAATAGTCCCTGAGAGATCATGTGTTTAGACAGGAGAAAGAACCACCAGCTGTGACACACACACAGCACACATCCCATCCTAACAGGGCCCCCATCTTCAAGTCCAAGCAGTATGGGGAGGAGACCCAGGCCTCGGAGTTAATAAGCCAGGCTCTGCTTCCTTTTTTTTTTCTTTTTCTTTTTTGAGACAGAGTCTCGCTCTGTCGCCCAGGCTGGAGTGCAGTGGCCGGATCTCAGCTCACTGCAAGCTCCGCCTCCCGGGTTTACGCCATTCTCCTGCCTCAGCCTCCCGAGTAGCTGGGACTACAGGCGCCCGCCACCTCGCCCGGCTAGTTTTTTGTATTTTTTTAGTAGAGACAGGGTTTCACCGTGTTAGCCAGGATGGTCTCGATCTCCTGACCTCGTGATCCGCCCGTCTCGGCCTCCCAAAGTGCTGGGATTACAGGCTTGAGCCACCGCAGGCTCTGCTTCCTAACTGGCCCTGTGAGTGGCCATGGCAATTAATCTCCCCCAAGCACTTTGCTGACCTTATTAAAATAATTTCTTGTGGCAATTCCGGTAGCTGGGTGATGGGGATTTGAACCTTCCTAATGGGAGTCTCCTCCCTGTATAATAAGGGCCATGGGCTTGGAGAGGGGCATTCTCACCATATTTAGTGAGAACATTTCAGGACTGTGGGCCTGCGCTGGCTCTGTCATGGAGTGCCATGCCTGGGCTGGAACAGGTGAGTGTGGACAGCACCCTCCCTACACACACACACACACACACACACACACACACCCTGCTACCTCACATGGGAGAGAGAGCCTGGGTCCATGGCAGCACCCTCCCTAGACACACACACACACACACACACACACACACACACACACACACAGGCCCTGTTGCCTCACATAGGGGAGAGAGCCTGGATCCATTTGCCCACAGGCCTCCCAGGTCCCTTCTAAGCCAAAAAGAAGGAAACTGTTTTAATCAGAGCCTCGTGCTGTTGGTAGTGGTTGGTGGTTTTTATTGTGGTGGTAGATGTATAACATTAAGAGGAGAAACAAGCACTGTAAATCCTTTAAAACATCCTGAAATGCTAATACAATTAGTTCTAGGGTTTCATGGTAGTTTTTTAAAGTGCCATGTTTATGAAGTGCCTGCTTCTGAAAATAAGGAGGCGTTTCAGTCAAACAGTAGTGACTATGGAAAGAGTTTTGTTGCAGTTTCTTTCTTGGCTTTCCTTGCCCACCAAAAAGTAGTTGATACTTGCCGTGATTATGCTGGGTCTTAGCAAGGTCTAAGCTGTGTCACGTTGTGGTTTTTAGAGCCAAAACAAGGGAATGCTGAGTTGGTTTTCTGTGAGACATTTTAGGGGACAAAGCAGCAGAGTCAGCACACGCCGTGTGGCTAGGGAAGTCAGGCAGAAAGGGGCAAATCTGCCCCTACCCCCGCCTCCTGTGGGGCCCATGCACTGGGTGTGCTAAGGGGTCTGTGGCTGTGCTGTGGCCTCGGGCCCTCATGAGCCAGGCTTTCTTCCATCTCCTCTCGAATCTACATGCTGGGTAACAACAGCATCCCCCAAAGAGGCCTCTGTTCCATTCCTGAGACATTTCCTTTGAAAAATGAACTCAGGCCGAGTGCAGTGGCTCATGCCTGTAATCCCAGCACTTTGGGAGGCCGAGGTGGGCGGATCACGAGGTCAGGAGATCGAGACCATCCTAGTGAACACAGTGAAACCGTCTCTACTGAAAATACAGAAAAATTCACCGGGCTTGGTGGCGGGCGCCTGTGGTCCCAGCTTCTCGGGAGGCTGAGGCAGGAGAATGGCGTGAACCTGGGAGGCAGCGGAGCTTGCAGTGAGCGGAGATCGCGCCACTGCACTCCAGCCTGGGCGACAGAGTGAGACTCCATCTCAAAAAAAAAAAAAAAAAAAAAAGAAAGAAAAATAAACTCAGGCTGAGTGCAGTGACTCATGACTGTAATCCTAGCACTTTGGGAGGCCAAGGCAGGAGGATTGCTTGAGGCCAGGAATTTGAAATCAGCCTGGGCAACATAGTGAGACCCCATCTCTACAAAAAATAAACAAAATTAGCTGGGTGTTGCAGGGCATGCCTGTAGTCCCAGCTGCTCAGGAGGTGGGAGGATCGCTTGAGTTTAGGAGGTGGAGGCTGCAGTAAGCTATGACTGTGCCACCACACTCCAGCCTGGGAAACAGAGCAAGATCCTGTCTCAAAAAAAAGAAACAACAACAAAAAACCCAAAAAACAAATCTAAAGTGTTTCACATGATGGCTGAAATAGTAAGCATGAGGGAAAGGTCAGTGACTCTTCTTCTTAGTGAAGGAGGCGGAGGTCACAGATGAGAGCAGGGGCCATGTGTCAGATGGACTGGCACTGCCGCCGACTGTCGGCGTGACTTCAGTCAGTTCCTCTCCTCTCCAGGCCTCAGCTGCCCTGTCTGTGAGTGGAACTGCATCTCTTCCTTCGTGGGGCTACAGTGAGGAGTAAACGGTTAGGGCCCATCAGCCCACACACAGCTGGCACTTGCTGGTCATGTTCCACCTGCATCAGCCACCGTGAAGCTGCAGTTGCGCAGACTCAGGGGCTCCTCTCCAGGACTCACCTGGTGCCCATCCCAGCACCACCCTCGCGCTTCACACACATGACCAGCCTAGCATTGCCCTCATACTCTTATTCATCCTGGCACCCAGGACCTGGCATGTTGGCTGGCACAGAGCTGGCCCTGCCTCTTGCCTGCTGCCTGTCTGCCCCAAGGACCCCAGCTTACACCCACCTTCTCCATCTCAGAAACCCTCTTCTATCCATTGACCTATCCCTCCCTCCACTGCCACCTGAGGCATCTGAGATCTGGAGAAGGGACAAGGTGGGAGTCACGGTGGGCTGAGTAGCAGAGCTGGGTAGATACTGGCTAGCACAGTGGAAGCACAGCTGATAGGAGACGGGCATCATTTCCCTGTGCAGAATTGCAACCCTGCACTCGGCCATCCTCAGGGCCAGGAGCAAAGCAGGTGCTTGAAAAATATGAGTAAAGTCATACATTTACAAATTTTGTAAATTCACATGATTGCATTTAATTGTGATAAAATATACATAACAAAATGGACTCTCTTAACCAGTGTGTACAGCTCAGTGGCGTGAAGTACATTCACACTGTTGTATAAACCATCACCACCATCTATCTCCAAAACTCTTCTTATCTTGTAAAACCGAAACTCTCTACCCATTAAACTAATCCCATTCTTTCCTCCTCACAGCCCCTGGCAACCTATATGATCACATCTTTTATAAAATCTCAACAGAAAAATACAAATAACCATTTACAAAAGCAATTACCAAACTTATTTTTCTTTCCATCCATACAATTTTATAAAATCTAAATCACTAAATATCACAGCCTTCCTATTACTTACCAGATGGGAGCTTCTTGTTAATCTCCTTGGTCTACTACTATGAAATTGCCCTTTTGTGGGAGTAGGTTAGACAGCATACATGTTCACTGTGTCTTTAAAAGTCATATTTATATTTTTATACATTTGATAAGATATTGAATATAAAAGGAAAAGAAGTTTCAAAGTGATATTGATACTATTCTACTTGGAAATAAAGATAAATTATTTAAACACTTTCTCCTAAGACATGAAATAAATGAAAGTAAGTTAAATACCACAGCCTCCTGATGAAATAATGAAAAGGAGATTATGTCCCCGAGAACAGAATGTCTCAAAGCTCATCTCAGATGGCAAATGATCAAGGAGGCTCTGTGGAAAACGGAGTCATGCAAATTGACTTATGCCTGAAAACCTCAAAAATAAAAACAGAAACTGTCTGTCAAGTCTAAGTGACCATCTAAAGAAGGTAAGACAGGGAAACAAGAAAGAACCCCCAAGCCTGAGATGAGAACAAGGATTGTGAGGCAGGGAAGTGCGCCGTGCCATTGTCTAGGCCTACATTCAGGATTAAGCTCTTTACATGCATGGCACTTTGCCAGCCTCCACCTTCCGGATGCATGTGCAAGTGTTGATAAAGGCTGGTCCAGTGGACAGATGAAAAGATATTATACATCTACATGAATGAGAGCTGCATGTTGTGTGTGAAGTACCATGTTCGTAGAATTCACCAAAGGTTCTCTAGGCTGTAACTAAATGTCAATATGGAAATTGCATATTTCTGTTCATGAGATGCCAGTCATTTATTGCATGGGTCAGATGATTTAAATTTGGGTCATTTTTTTGTCCAGTGACATATGAATTATCAGTTTCTCAAAACAGAAAGGAATCAAAATGAAATGATGCCTAGGCATGCTGGTGTGCACCTGTAATTCCAGCTACTCTGGAGGCTGAGGCAGAAGATCACTTGAGCCCAGGAGTTCAGGGGTTCTCAACCAGCCTGGGCAAAATAGCAAGACTTTGTTTTATTAAAAAAAAATATATATATATATATATATATTTTAAAAATTATATATGTGCGTGTGTGTGTGCATATATATATATATACACATTTATATATATACACATATATACACACACACACATACATATATATATGTGTACACACACACACATTTCAGGGCCAGGCACATTAATTGGCATGTATGTGTATGTGTGTGTGTATATCTATATGTATATGTATATATTATAATTGATAGTCCTGACATTTCAGGGCCAGGCATATTAATTGGCATGCATATATATGTGTGTGTGTGTATATCTATATGTATATGTATATATTATAATTGATAGTCCTCACATTTCAGGGCCAGGCATATTAATTGGCATGCATATATATATGTGTGTGTGTGTATATATATGCCATATATGTGTATGTGTATATATATGCATCGCATGTGTGTGTGTGTATATATATGCCATATATGTGTATGTGTATATATATGTACCATATATGTGTGTGTGTATATATATATGCCATATATATATGTGTGTGTGTGTATATATATGCCATATATGTGTGTGTGTCCCATATTGGTCTATCAATTTTAAGAAAAGAAACATTTTTAATGAAATGATGGTATAACTTACTCTTCATCTCAGCCTATTGATTGCTCTTTGTCATCTGTCTTACTGTGCTCCATTAAATGTCCCTCCATTGGAATTATTGACTATATTAGACACTGGGATGAAAAAACCACCCAGAAGAGAGTTGTCCTCTATAAAACAAAGTGGAGGGGGTTGTGAGGGGCACTTGGATGCAGGAGTTGTCCAATCTGAATCTGAACCCCTGGCTACCCACATGGCCATGGCACGTTCTGTAATGTCCCTGAGCCCACTGTCACCTTTATTACAAAGTGACAATAACAGGGTTGTTGAGAAGACTAGATGGAGTGATACACAGCACACAACTACCCCCTGCCCTTACCCCTACTCCTGACCTTCTTAGCCCTAGCCCCAGGGCCCCAACTAACTCAGCTGTCCTGGTAACAACTCAGTTTGATGGCATAGGACAGCAGTCAGCAAGCTTTTCCTATAAAGTGCCAAATAGCAAATGTTTTTGGCTTTGCAGGCCTTTTAGCACCTGCTCAGCTCTGCCATTGTGACATAAGAAGTCATAGACAATGTGTAAACAAATAAGGATAGCCGTGTTCCAATAAAACTTTATTTACAAAGCAGACAGTGGGGTGGATTTGGTTCGTGAGCCATAGTTTGCCAGCCACTATATAAAGAAAGAGACCTAAATACTCCTTGTCTGCAAAGTTAGATATAATTGCCACATATGTGCTCTCTTCCTAGGAAGAGAGTCACTTTTTTGTCAAATACCATGGAAGATTTACAAAAGTTGTATAAATATGAGGCCACCAAAAAAGTCTCAATAATTTTTATAAAAAGTAGAATGAATGCTGATTAAAATATGATAAAGATTCTGTAAAAACAAAGGCATGGATTGCACGAAGAGATGGGTGCTGTGCTGGGAGATAATCCACTTCTTTTTAACTTTCAGGTATGAAATAATGTACTCTTGCTGGAGAACCGATCCCCTGGACCGCCCCACCTTTTCAGTATTGAGGCTGCAGCTAGAAAAACTCTTAGAAAGTTTGCCCGACGTTCGGAACCAAGCAGACGTCATTTACATCAACACACAGTTGCTGGAGAGCTCTGAGGGCCTGGCCGAGGGCTCCACGCTTGCTCCACTGGACTTGAACATTGACCCTGACTCTATAATTGCCTCCTGCAGTCCCCACGCTGCCATCAGCGTGGTCACAGCAGAAATTCATGACAGCAAACCTCATGAAGGACGGTACATCCTGAATGGGGGCAGTGAGGAATGGGAAGATCTGACTTCTGCCGCCTCTGCTGCAGTCACAGCTGAAAAGAACAGTGTTTTACCCGGTGAGAGACTTGTTAGGAATGGGGTCCCCTGGTCCCACTCGAGCACGCTGCCCTTGGGAAGCTCACTGCCTGATGAACTTTTGTTTGCTGACGACTCCTCAGAAAGCTCAGAAGTCCTGATGTGAGGAGAGGTGCGGGGAGACATTCCAAAACTCAAGCCAGTTCTTCTGCTCTAGGAGAATCCAGTTGTATCTGATGTTTTTGGTATTTGTCTTCCTTACCAAGTGAACTCCATGGCCCCAAAGCACCAGATGAATGTTGTCAAGTAAGCTGTCATTAAAAATACATAATATATATTTATTTAAAGAGAAAAAAATATGTGTATATCATGGAAAAAAACAAGGATATTTTAATAAAACATTACTTATTTCACTTATCTTGCATATCTTAAAATGAAGCTTCAGCCGCTCCTTGATAGTAACATTTGTACAGAGCTGAAGTTGCTTTTTCAAGTTCTTTTCTTTTTCATGACTATGAAATGTAAAAATATTTGTAAAATGAAATGCCATGTTTAACTTAGCTTCTGGTCTTGATGTATTTGATGAGAATGATTCATTCAATGTTTAAAGTTTTATAACGGATTAATTTTCTGATATGGCTTCCTAATAAAATATGAATAAGGAAGGATATGTTGAACTTACTTGACTTGAAAGACAGCGGTCGGCGGCGGCCTTTGCAATGGAATTCTCTTAATGCCTGGCTCTTGGGGCAATTGCTCTGACCATTCTTGGCATTGCTTTCTAGAGATATGGTAAAACCACACCAGGGTCTGTAGATAAGGAACAAAAAATATTAAAGGATTGAAAAATACAAATCTGAATGGAAAGATTTAAAATCAGCTGAAGAAGAGAATCTGGCAGGTGAAGCACTTCTCTGTTTGGGAGGCGTAGCTCATGGGAGGTAGGCATGGGAGTGGGGCAGGGCAGAGCTGAGCTCACGTCCTGCCTCTGCCACTTCGTAATAGCCATCATTTGTAGAATACTTGTTATTTTTCAGGAACTTTATGTGAACCGTCCTATTTAATCTTTATGTCATTATAACATGGGTACCAGTGCCATCATCATGTATGAGCCAAGAAATCCAGGCTTAGAGAGGCTGAATAACCCTGCTTGCAGCCCACATCTAAACAGTGGGGGAGCCAGAATTTAGAACATCTGATTCTGGTTAGTTCTATGAATGTGATTTGGGGGTTGTATTAGTCCATTCTTGCATTGCTATAAAGAAATACTTGGGACTGTGTAATTTATAAAGAAGTTTAATTGGCTCACGATTCTGCAGGTCATATAGGAGGCACGGTGCTGGCATCTGCTCAGCTTCTGGGGAGACCTCAGGAAGCTTCCCATCATGGCAGAAGGCAAAAGGGGGGCAGATGTCTCACATGCAGGAGCAGGAGCAAGAGGAAAAGGGGAGATACTACACACTTCTCAACGACCAGATCTCACGAGAACTCACTCACTATCATGAGAACAGCACCAAGGGGTTGATGCTAAATCATTCATGAGAAATCCACCCCCATGATCCAATCACCTCCCTCCAGGCCCCACCTTCAGCACTGGAGATTACAACTGAACAAGAAATTTGGGTGAGGACACAGATCCAGACCACATTAGAGATCTACTCCAGAGCTTCTCAACCTTTGTACTTTATTTAATAAACATGTATCACTTATTCTGTGCCAGGCATTGGCACTCATTTAATGTTTATAACAACCCCACCAGATAGGTACTACTACTCTCTCCACTTCACAGATGGGCAGACTGAGGCAGGAAGAGGCTAACATGCTGCTAGTCAGGGCAGCAGACTGATGCAGTCAGTTGAATTGTTGATTTCCCAGCCTTCAGGGCAGCTGAGCAGGCCACTGGCATCTTCAGGCCCGTTTACTCCCCACCAGTGAGCAGCCTCACCCAGGCCTCTCCCACAGCCTTCAAGACTCGGAATCTACATGGGGTCCAACAGTGTGGCTCTCACCCAGGTTCTGGTCCCAGCTGCCCACCCAGGCACCCAATCTCCAGGGTGAGCCGGCTCCTCTGTTACTGTGAAATGCTCCATATGAAAAAGTTCTGTCCAGATGTGGGAATTCACACCTGTAATCCCAACACTTCAGGAGGCAAGGCAGGAGGATCACTCGAGCCCAGGAGTTCAAGACCAGCCTGGACAACATAGTGAGACCCTATATCTACAAGAAAAAAAGTAGCCAGAAATGGTGATGCGTGCCTGCAGTCCTAGCTACTCTGCAGGCTGAGGCAGGAGAATCACTGGAGCCCAGGAGTTTGAGGTTACAATGAGATATCATTGTGCCACTGCACTCTAGCCTGGATGACAGAGCGAGACTGTGTCTCTAAACAATTAAATTAAAAAAAAAGTTCTGAGGGTTTGAAAAGAATCTGTAAAATGCCACCATTACATTTTATTCATGAAATAAAACAAGCTGTAGCTCCTATAAAGATTACTTATACTGTTGAAAAATTTTGAATTGTCCTTAAAAAATAAAAAAGATTGGCTGGGCACGGTGGCTCAAGCCTGTAATCCCACCACTTTGGGAGGCCGAGATGGGCGGATCACGAGGTCAGGAGATCAAGACCATCCTGGCTAACCCAGTGAAACCCCGTCTCTACTAAAAAATACAAAAAACTAGCCGTGCGAGGTGGCGGGCGCCTGTAGTCCCAGTTACTCGGGAGGCTGAGGCAGGAGAATGGCGTGAACTCGGGAGGCGGAGCTTGCAGTGAGCTGAGATTGCGCCACTGCACTCCAGCCTGGGCGACAAAGCGAGACTCCGTCTCAACAAAAATAAATAAATAAATAAATAAATAAATAATAAATTAAAAAGATGTATCCCCTACTTGTACAAACAGTTTCTTATTGATGGTAAGTAGCAAGAATTTGAAGAACTGATCATTAAAGTCTGGATCAGGACCTGATGGTGACTAGTTCAAACAAAAAAAAAACACCCCAATATAGAAAGGTATGCTCATCACTATGAGCAAAATAAGTAATTATAAACATTGAAAAATGTTATTTGGAAGTGTAATATAAACTTAATATTAAGTATCTATGCTCATATACAGTACTTTGTATTTTATATTTCTAATTTTAATGGCATAATGTAAAAAATGTACAATGAATAGTTCATCAAACGCCCCACAGCCCTCTAAATCCTGTGTAGTATCTTCTGTGTGGTCTGAGCAGGGCTGGGGAACCTGGGCCAGTTCTGCCACAGAAGAGTGTAGACAGCTGAGCCAGCTGTGGCTTCTGGCTTTTCTTGAGACATCAAGAAACATAGCAGAAAAATTCACTTCAGCACACAGCGCGATGCACCCAAGGGTTGGTTAAAAGTGGTGTGATGAATGAGAATGAAGCTGGGCTAACACATTGTTCTTCACATTTAAATCTCCGCGCTCAGAACGTTGGTGTTCTTCTCAGCCACATTTGAATATTTGAAAATTTGGAAAGAACTTTTTTTTTTTTTTTTTGAGACGGAGTCTCGCTCTGTTGCCCAGGCTGGAGTGCAGTGGCCGGATCTCAGCTCACTGCAAGCTCCGCCTCCGGGTTTACGCCATTCTCCTGCCTCAGCCTCCAGAGTAGCTGGGACTACAGGCGCCCGCCAGCGCGCCCGGCTAGTTTTTTTGTATTTTTTAGTAGAGACGGGGTTTCACTGGGTTAGCCAGTATGGTCTCGATCTCCTGACCTCATGATCCGCCCTTCTCGGCCTCCCAAAGTGCTGGGATTACAGGCTTGAGCCACCGCGCCCGGCGGAAAGAACTTTTTCAGATGATCCAATCATTGGCAAACTCTCATACTGTCTTCTGAGCATAAACTGAAAACAGCCTTTCAAATTCTCTTTCATGGAAACTCAAATTACTTTTGTAAGTGGCTCTTACAGGCAAACAGGGAGAGAGGAAACAGGAAGGAACAAGTCGGGTAATTGTCTTAACCATGCTGAGGCTCAGGATCAGGAGGTCGAAAGGACAAGGGAACAGACATATGCCAGGAGCACTCGTGACTGGCACGTTGAGACTTGCCCTCCGTTGTGAGGATTTTCTTTCTTTTTCATTGTTTTTTTTTTTTTTTCCTTTCTGTTGCTTTTCTTAATGAGTAGAAAGGAGAATCAAGCATCAGGGCAACTCTTGAAAAAAATAAAAATAAAAAAACCAAAGCACTCTTCATTGTGATACAGGCCGTATGGTCAGAGGTGGGCTGGATAGGAGCTCACCCTGCCAGATTTCCTTGGGCACTCATGGGCAGGTCACGTGACTTTCCCTGAGCCCCAGTTTTCTCAGGTGTGCAGTAAACATACCAATGCCTTTTTCTGCAACACCCTGTGTAAGAAGGGGAGGAGGCAAGGTCTTTGAAAGAATGTTATGCTCACAAGAGGCTGTTCTGAAGTCGTGGCATCATTCCTTATGCAGTGCAAACCCAGCAACATTTGTCATATTCAAAATATTTGCAGCCAGGCGTGGTGGCTCAAGCCTGTAATCCCAGCACTTTGGGTGACTGAGGAGAGAGGATTGCTTGAACCCGGTAGTTCAAGACCAGCCTGGGCAACATAGGGAGACCCTGTCTCTATAAAAAATTAAAAAGAAATTAGCCAGGGATGGTGGCATGCAATCGTGGTCCCAGCTGCTCAGGAAGCTGAGGTAGGAGGATCACTTGAGCCTCGAAACTCAAGGCTGCACTGGGCCGTAGTCACACCATGGCACTCTAGATGGGGCGACAGAGCAAGACTCCATCTCAAAAAAAAAGAAAAAGACACATTTTCCCTGATTGTTTCATCAACTCCCTCCAAAATAAACACACTCCTTCATAATTTGAAAAGAGAAGGAGATAGTATTTCACCTTAGCCAGAAATGCACAGTTGGGGAAGTTCAGAGTGAAGGAGGAGGCCCTCAGTCCTCACCTAAAACAGCCATTGGGCTCAGGAGCTGGAACTACCTTCCTCCTGTCTATCCTGGGGTTTAGCTACTGATGATACAAGCCTCAGTGCGCCTGTCCCCAATATGTAGTTATGACAAGCAATGGTGGCTTGCTTTATCAGGAGCATTTGGGGACATGCGGTGGGTCAGAATACTATCCCAGGAAGGGGAGATTCCCTCCCTGCCTCCATGTCTGCCAGACCTAGCAGAGGTTCCCCACTTGGGAAATGGGCCAAACCACAGTCTCTTCTTTTACAGAGCAGGCTGATTCTAGCCAGACCAGTTCTGATTAATTAAAGTCAAGACTTTTGTAACTTTTCCTGGTCAATGGCAAAAGCAAGTTGGAACTTCTGCTGAGTCCATGGGAAAGTAACTGACCCAATAATAAACTAGCTACAACAGCAACTTAACTTCTCTAAAGATGTTTAGTAACTGAGTGACAAATGAGAAAACAGGAAGTTTTGTTTTCTTTAATAAATGTCTCAGTGATGCACAACTTCCTATCGTTAGATTTTATTTTCTTTCTTTCAAAGCTCTAAGTCAGAATAGCAGCAAAACTCCCATTCTGTTTAACTTTAAAAGGCATGTATAATTACTTAATTTTTTGGTATTAAATGCAATAATTCTGGGCATGGCGGCTCATGCCTGTAATATCAGCACTTTGGAAGGCAGAGGTGGGAGGACTGCTTGAGCCCAGGAATTCAAGACCAGCCTGGG